GTACATACATAATTCTTAACAGCTTTGAGTAACTGAGAAAATCCATGCTGTTCAGAATGTGTGGTTTTTATTTTCAGTATTGATTATGACTGTATATGGCTTCAGAAATAGTCATGAAAATACTGGGTGAAGTTTTCACTATCATTTCAATACAGTTGTTACACTGGAGTATGAAAATAATTTGGGAATCAGATGGATCTGAAGTACAAGAGGTTTTCAGGGTGATTTCCTGTAAAAGAACAAATACAATTCTAAACTTTGTATTTAAACTTTGTGCAATATAATATTTAAGTATCTGTCAAATATTCAGCTTGACCAAATTGGCACATTTCATCTTTGAGCACTAAAAACATGACAGGAGCAAGGCAGTAGTGGAAGAAATGTCTGCCTTTATATTGTGGCAGATGTGAATGATGAATGTACCTTTTTCTTTTAGATGAATATAAAGGAGTTATTTTCTGTCCTTATCAGCTGTTACTAATGCACAAACAAGTGTAATTTAAAAAAAAACCAACAACAACAACAACAAAAAAACTAAAAAACCACAACAAAGCAACCTGTTTTTCTGATCCATTTGTAGCAGTTTTGAGGAAGAAAAGGAAAACAGAATAGTCTGTGCTGCCACATGAAGCTATCTTACTTTGACCAAAACACTGATGGGACTTAGATTTTTCAGATGTTCCAGAGAAAGTGCTTTTTTAATTTTGTTTTTTTTTTTTTTTAAACCTGATTTTACTGCTCAGTAATGTAAAAACAAACAAACAAACAAAAACCTTTCAATTAAAGACCTATTCAGTCTGAGATCTGAGATTAGTTGGCTAGACAGATTAAAAAACAGTAAAATCACTCTTTGTTCCTAAATAGACACCTTTTTTTTTTTTTTTTGCTAGATGGTTAGTGAAATAATTGCTAAATTAACTGGGGAGTAAGGGAATATTTCCAAACCCTCTTCTTTTGAAGTCTTGGATGTCTTCCAGATACTGCAATGCACTTTCTTTTCTTTTTTTTTTTTTAAAAAATCCATATTGCAGTCTGTGCCAAAGAATGGTCTAAACAAGTATGTAGAGGGAGACTTAATGATTGGCGGTCACTAGATCATTAAAGAATTGTTGAACCTATTAAAATATTCACTACTGGAAGATCATAAGCAACTTACTGTCTTGGATTTTGATGGGAGTACAGGGAGGGTGAATTGAGTAGGACTGAAGTAATGAGCAAACAGGAAATGTTGAATGCACAGTGCGTAAAGCAGGCTACTTTTGACTGGGTACCTTCATAGCTTGCAGCTAAATGTGGTGATGCACATTATTCATAATTTAGAACTTAGTGGCCTGACATTCCCTGAAAATGTAAAGTGACTTTTAAAATGTGATTTCACAGAGCCTAATGAAAGGCCAGTTCAAAATGCATTAAGCAATAAGGATGTGTAGCTGGAAAGCAGTGAGCTTCTTTTCACTGCAATAAATTTGTAATGTTATTTTATTGTAACTAAATACAACCTTGAGAATAATAGTAATTCCCTGCGGCTGGGATTCATCTCATTTAAAATGAACCCTGTAACACAGGTGTCTGGGCTCCTTGTCATCAAGATAAAAATAGTACGACTGTGTTAGTAAGGAGAAGTTCATTGCCAGTGTGCTCAGAGGGCTGTTTTGGGGTAGGAAGAATTGCCCCATGGAGCTGCAATATCTTTTCATTGATTATACAAGAGTCTGGCCACCAACAGAAACAGGAGCAGGGAACTGCCACCTGCCCCAGCTGCTTCCCAGCTCCTGAGTCTTGCATGTGACCTTCTTCCAGTTGTATTCCACCAGTATACTGTCCCCTCCTATTTCCTTTCCCTCACTACCTTACAGTGTGGTGTCTGTGGTAGCAAATGATCTGAGGGTCTTGTCTTGCCACCAGCCTTCATCGTGGCAGCTTCCACGTCACTGTACCACTCTTGTGCTTCACCCTTCTCCTTTGATCTTCACCTTCAGGTGAGTTTTTTCCCTCCCTGGTGCGAGCTCTCATTCAGTGATGCTCAGGGAGAGCAGGAGATAGGTCTCCTGGCTCTCCTTTCCTATGTCCTCCCCTTTTGGCCACATCAGTGACCTTTCCTCATCCACGTGTGTGAGGCTTTCATGATGGTCATGTAATGGGTCTGTGCTTTCTTACTGTGGCAGGGAAAGGCCCTCCTATGGCATAGACTGTAGTGCAGTCTTTCCCCACCCCGCAACCTTACATGCGTGCGTAGCTGTTTTGGAGGGCTCCTGGGCCCCCGGGGGTCAGACCCATGGAGCAGGGAAGGTGTTTGAGCTGTGGCTCACGAGACATGGTGCAGCTGCAGGGCCATGAGACAGGACCTCGGGAGGCTTGCCTTCTGCCTGCCGCCTGAGGTTGGAAAACATCTTCCAAGTTCTAGGGAAATCTCGTGTTGTCCCGTAGGCCTTGTAACCACGTTCAAGCCAGACACGACTGTTGGCTACAGATGATGTCATCCATGTGGTGCACTCATTCCTGAACGCTTCTGCTGTCAGCTCATGTTTGCTGTGACCTGAGTGGCTGCTGGTTTGCTTCCATACCCAGCAGACTGAGACTTTAATTTATTGTGTTTAAATTTTTTAGTAGGGATGTCATGGAACTGCACTGAATCAACATCTTGGTGAGACCAGAGAGTTCCTGCTTTTGTGGATGTTGTGCTTCTCTTTCTGGTCCTGCAAGACCCGAGTGTCATCAGGCTCTAAATCTCAGCAGGTTTTATAGGCACAGTGTTTCCCTTGAATAAACTGTCAGATTTTATTTTGAGGCAGACTGATCAAAGCTAAGATGAGTTTAGAATAATAATCTTATTTACAAATACTCAAGTAAGAAGCATTTCATGTTACCGAGGCATACTCCAGAGAAAATGCCAAGTGACATAAATGCTACAAGAATGCCGTTCCATCGTCTAAATACACATTAAAAAAAAAAACTTTATGAAAACACTCAGCAGGTTTTAACCAGTTCCTTTTACTCATGGTCTGAGATCAGACAGACTTGCTCTCCTCAGCTAACCTTGGGCGGTGTGGTACTGCAGGTGAGCTCTCTGTCTTTTTTCCTGTTGGTCAAAAATCTCCTCGCTCCCAAAGGCTCCTGTTTTTTTGTGGTGGGAATGAGGAGGTTTGGTCTTTGTTAGACAGGAATCCATCAGGTACTTCAGTAAGACATATACATGCATATGCACAGGCACGTTTCCATTTTACTGGTTGCGCATGAGGATGAAAGCAAGTATCCTTTGCCTTTTGCTGTGCAGGTGGCTGCTAAACACTCTGCTCTCTAGCAGCCTCAGCCAAACTGAGAGGTCTGAGACTAGTCTGGGAGCTGGAGCGTTTGCCTGAAGTTTCTAAATCATTTGTAGGTGTATTTTTAGAGCAGTGCACTAATATTGGTATTACGCTAGGCCTAAAGTCTTTCTAATATTATTGCCTCCAACAAAACGCACTTACTGGGAGGCCCTTTCATTAAGAGACGATGTGTGTTTGAATGTGCCTACATACAGCGATAGATGGAGTGGAAAATGTGGGAAGCTTTCTGTTAGAACCAACACATGAGGTGTGATGGCCAGCACAGGCTGGGCGGAGATCACTGGGGACGCTTTTGGCTTAATGAAGCTGGAGAAAATTAAGTAAGTATATTAAAATATATTTGCACTTGAGATTTGTTTCGGATGGCATTACCTCAGATAAAAAGTGCTCTTTATGGCATTACCTCAGATAAAAAGAAAAACAGATGTCTTTTTTTCCTTGCCCTCTTTGTATCCTCTTATTTGGCATTTTGGTATGAATTATTTTAGTTACTGCAAGGTTGGCTGAGATGCATGCTTAGAGAAATTAGTCCTTCTATCTGCAATTGTTCTTGGTGTGTTTTCTGACAGTATTCATGAGGCTAATGTTTACTGTAGCTAACATTAACAAACAGTCAATAAAACAATCTAAGTGAACATTGCTTCCTGGTGGCCTAGGTCTCTTAGAAGCACCAGAAGTACATTGGGCAAAAACCTGCTCAGCAGGTTCCTGGGAAGGTGAGCTTGGCTTTTCCTTTCCGACTTTCAAAACCAGCCAGCCTTGAAGGGTTCGGTCGTCGTGCCCTGCATCACCAGGGTGACAGTGCTGCTGTGGTGACATATACGTCCTGTGCTTTCCCTAGAACCACGTCATCCTTTTAATTTCTCTGGTGTAAAGCTCACTACTGGGTATTTACTTTTCGCAATTCGTGTTAGACAATGTTAGATAAGTTGCCTTTGGAAAGATGCTTTGTACTTAAAGTTGTGGCTGGAAACCAGGCGTTGCCTTAGGTGGAAAAATACCTGAGGATTTGTTTTTTGGTATCCCAGTGAAACAGACCAAACTGCACAGTGACGCATCTGGGAGGAGGTGGGATTGAGCAGCTGCCCACTCGCAAGTGGCCCGTTGGTTACGGGTACTGTCTGGAGATGCCAGGACCTGGCCTCAGGCTGAAGTTTGGGCCAGATCGGCTGGACTGCCCGCCTCTAATGGGTTTTGTTTTCTTCGCTTGGTTACTGTTGCTTTATTTTGGTCTAGTAATTATTTACTGGGCAGACAGGGAAAGGGCCAATCCGTAGCTTGAGCGCGAGGGCACTTGTCTGGAGTGTGATGGGTCTCTTGTAACGGTGGAGTTTGTGTAGTTTAATGGATTATTATTTGTTCTGAAGTGAGTGGAGATTTGTGTTTTAGGGCCTCTTGAGTTAAAATAGGTGCATTTGTCCAAGGAACAAAAATATTTGATTTCAGTGATTGGCCTTTTTATACAGAAATAGTGGTTTTTGCTGAAAACTTGCTGGTAAGCTGTTATTTACAGTATTTGCTGCAGGTGTGGATTTAACTGATGTGCTGATGAGAAGAATCGTTACAATCGGCAAAGCGACGACTCGGGCTAGAACATCTGGTCTTTATAAACAGAAGGAAACGTTTCCTCTTGACTCCTCTGAATTATTCAACAACTCTGTTGGGGTGGCATAGACCAGCCTCAGTGCCTCACAACAAGAGGCTTGGGATATGCCTGTATGAAGTCAGAACCTGGGCCTTGAGCTTGTCACATATCACACCGTGTCCAGCAAACCCTGGGACCCTTGTGTTTTGTGTGACAGGTCTGTCAATGAATGTTTTGGTTTTTTTTTTACAGTGTGTTATACACAGATGTACATAGCACCACCTGACATGGCTTGAAGGGCCATGGGATGAAATAGCTGTCTTGCGAAATTCACAGTAGAAATTAGCCTTGACAGACATAAGAAAACATATCCCAAGTCCCCCACTTCTTCTATTTCATGGTATTTTTCCCTCAAAAAAAAAAAAGCACTAAAGATGGATTCTGAGCTGCTGACCAGGGATGGATGGATGGATGTTTTCTGTAGCTTTAAAACTAGTGTAATTATTGTCAACTGCCCTGTGGGCATGGTTGCAATATCCACTGATTTTGTAAACTATTTTGATGGTGTTGTTTCCTGGACAATTTCTTAGCATAGTAATTTTTTCTGCCACTAATTAAAAGCAGTAACCCTAGGCTTTCTTGTCTTCTTACAGCAAAGAGCTCCGGGGAAAGTTCTGCATGACGCTGTTTGCAACCACCTGAACCTTGTTGAAGGCGACTATTTTGGCCTTGAGTTTCCAGATCATAAAAAGATGATGGTATGTAAAAGGATTAATTTTCAGCTGATTTTCATCTACACGCACACCGTTATTCTTTCCTTCTGCTCCTTACTTATAAGGTATGTTTGATCGTCAATCTCCAAAATAAAAAAAAACACAAACCTCTCTTGAAAAACTTTCTCACCTGCTGGAGTTGAAGAAATGTTTTTAAAACCTGATTACTCCTGTCAGATTTAATCTGTGTTGAAAGTAGCAATCAATTCACGCACACGTTAGAAAAGCATTTTATTTTTATCGGTTGCAGTAGAGAAGCCAAAGGCTGGACTGTTGCAGAGTCTCAACTCTGATTTTACCATCCTGCTTCATTTGGAGTGTGGGAATGGTAAAATCTTTCTCAGCAGACAAAGAAGATTCAATGATTGGGACATAGTTCCATGAAAAACATTGTGGGGCAAGCAAATGGGTAGATAAAATATAAAGAGGTTAACAGAAAAGAAATCAGGAACAAAAAAACCCTAATAAATTGATGAAAATCCTGTCTGGGGAGCTGTGTGGCACAGGCAGGTGTCCCGGTCTTGACACTTTGGACTCTTGAGAACAGCTGCCGGAAACATTCAGGCATTACACTAATACTTGTAGGGTAGAAACAGTATCATGTGGCAGAGAAAGCCAAAGGCTAATGACTTCTCAGTCTCTAATGACTCTTTTTCTGAAGTTTGTTTTACTTTAAGCTTACTGTGTGACCTACTGGCATGTGTACTAGTTATCGGGATTGTTTGACCAGTACATTCTGGTGTATACTGGATTTCTTGCCTGTTCGGTGAATTCTGCACCAGTAGCCTGGCTGACCTAAAGAAGATGACTTCAGGCAATTAGAAAAAAATTAGAAATCTTTCCATCTATATGAAAGTTCTGTAGGGAGCAATATTTCTCAACAAAAGAAACAAAAGGGGTTTCATTTGCTGTGACAGTAATCTGTCATCATGCCTTAGCGCAGGCTTATAGACACTAAGACCAAACACTAGTAGTTGTAATGTTTTAGGCTAACTATAATTAAAGAGGAAATTTTTAAAAATGGACATTGATCTTTAAAAGTGATCTGCTTCACGGTTAGCTGCTGGATTGACATGAAATACAGTTTACTAGAAAGTTTTGTATTCTGCCGGGTACCCTTGGCTAATGCTTTAGGTAACTTGAGAGCTTAACGTAAAGTCTTCAAAACAGTGCAGCTGTACAGTACTGTTACAGCAGAGAGTCCATGTAGCCAAGTTAATAGTGACGTACTGACATTCCTGATGGATGTGTGTATGTAAAGCTGAAACAAATCCTAACATCTTGTGTATATACCGTTGCTTTTTAGTTTTCTAGAAAATAGTGAAGGTCATTTGATCAACCTGCTCTACTTCACAGGTCATTAAGTTTCAGATAGATGACCCTCTGTGTTTTGCTCAGAGACCTGAAGGAAACTAACAGTTTTCAGTCTTGTGAAAACAAAATAGTTTATTTGCTTGAGGCAGAACACAGGAGAGATTTAGGTGCTGCCAGTGCCTGAGGCGCTTGCAGTGGCAGGAATTGACTGGCTGGAAATATGTCCAGACTATCACAGTGGGGGAGCCAGAGCTCTGATGAAAAGGAAGGTGGAGAAAAGCCCCTAGCACTATTGCCAGATTGACCTGAAGGAAAATGCCTTCATGCGTTGAGCATGGTAACTCACTCTTGCAAAAGGAAGGTTTTGCAACAAACATTAGCCCAGAATCTGAGAGCACGAGTCTGTGTTCCTGCTGGTTGTGCTAATCTTTGCTTCTGAAAAAGGGGGAGATCCCTAAATCTTGCCCACATGTGGTCAGCTGTGCTCCAAGAGTGGTGAGATTCAGTAGGAGTAACACTTTCGACCATCTAAGAGCGACTAACAGAAATTCTGAAGCAGGAGATTTGATTATGAATCATTGTTTCAGTGTGGAGCAGCGCTCTGAGAGTAATAGTTACACTTAAATTATAGTAACCAGTTTATATGGTGCAGTTGAGGCGAATGTTCCTGTGGGATTTAAAACTTTCTGAGCTTCGTAACAGCTGTAATGCAGAACTTAAGCATTGTGCAAATAAAAAAAAAGTCAGTTAATGGTGTGTCTGCGAAATAAAACACACATGCATAGTTTATATTCATATCATCTGAAGAGAATGAGTTGCTTTTCCAATGTAGAGTACGATGTAAAAGGAAAAATAAATATTTAGAGTGTTATTTGTAATCATATAAATGTGAAGTCATATATTAACAGTTCAGCTGTATTTGTTTCAATGTGCAAGGCTCCAGACCTCATACCTGACATATTGACAGTTGTATGTCAAGATGCCTGGCAGCTGTATACATTCAAGCATGCCATGCTTGTAGCAGACAAGATCTGCATGGGAGATGAACATGGAGGGTCTGAAGGCTGTGCTTCCTGCTGGGACAAGGAGAAACGAGGCACTGTTGCTAAGCCTGGTGTTTCACGGAGTTTCATCACACTCGATGTCTTTCCCCAGTTCTCCAGCTGCTGAAATCCAGTCGCTATTGTGGAATGCCAGACTTTGTTTAAAAAATAAATAATCTAGCCTTTGTAGTTCTGGAGAAAGCTGGAAACATGAATCTTAATTGAATCCTGACATTATTTTTCATTTCCAGTTTATAAACCAGTCTCAGATTGACTGTGTTTAGATATAGCGTGGAGTTGCATGATGCCTATGTTTCGATTGCTTGGGTTAGATAATAGCGGTGAGGTCTTTGTTTTGCCCCACCTTTCTCCCTGCACATGTTCAATACACACATTTCTGGTACGCAGCAGTCTAGTCAAGGGTGTTGTAACTTGCTTGTAGGATGGTTGGGAAAGTGGAGAAAGGAATGATGCACTAGTGTGCTCATGCTGTATCAGAAACTCCCTCTGGGAAGAGAGAGAAGATTTTGTGTGTGTGTCAAGTAAAATACTTTCCTCCCATATTCTTGTAAACTGGCTGTTTCATATTCAAGATTTTTTTTTTTCCACTAAACTTTGCGAAGTCCCTGACCTTCATTGCAGATTATGTACATGCCAACTTTCTGAAACAAAACAGAGTTACTGAAATGCCAAAAAGTGTAAAACCAGTTTAATGTGTGATAAACGCTGTGTTCCTATTCTTGGACAGCCAAGTTTCTTTAGCTATCTCCCCCTCCGCCCTCAAAAAAAAGTTAGTTTCATAGGCTGAGAAACATAAAAAGAATTCAATTGAGAAACATTAGTGAATGTGAAAGGGCAGAATGTGAGGTCTTTGCTAATTGGAAGCACTCATATTAGTAATGATGAAAATAGCAAACAGCATTGCAGCAGTTAGAGCAGCAATACAGGCCTGTTCCTGTCTGGCTTCTCAGGTGATTTTCTAAGATGGTTATTTTGAGTGTCTCAGTCTCTGCATAATCCAAAATTATTAAAGGTCAAAGGTGTATTCATTTCAACGCATATTCTTTTTCCAGAGGTAGGCTCAGTTAATTTGTTTTTTAATGGCTTTAACCTTTGTGACGATTGTAGGATGTTCCTCCACAAATTCCAGATGTCTCCAAGGGAGGCTCTGGGCAATTTAGTGAGATAACAAAATACAAATCTTGGGCATAGGTAGTCACTGGCTGAGGACTGTCAGCTGTTGTACTTCTCCAGGCCCTTCAAGTCATTCGACTTTTACCTTCTGCGTGATTGCCTCTCAGCTTACCGTAACACTTCGCCCAGGCTTTTCTCACTGAGACTAAAGAACAAGGGTTTAGGCTCTGAAAACTATGTTTCCACCCTCTGCTTCCCTTTTGAAAGCTGAAGGAGAGATCAACACGCCGTCCCGAAAAACGGGTTGTTAAAAAACAGATGGAAGTGATCTATATGCAGAAGTCACACTGCCCCCAATTAAGAAAGCCTTGGCCTGAGCTTCCGAGGTTTATAGAAAAGAGAAAATGTTACACAGCTATAAAGTAAGCTTCCTCCTGCCCAAGCTTTGCGTTGTGTCTGCCTCACGCCTTCGAGCTGTGGGAACATTCCTCTCCCAGGTGGTGGTGGTGGTGAGAGTCCTGTATCTCCATGGGGCCAAGCAAGGGAGCTCCACATTTATGCCCAGCCCTCCCAGTGGGACTCCTGTTGGGTCCGCAAAACCAGGAGGTTGCTTTGGTTTCTCTGTTTGCCCAGCGTTCCCAGCTCAAAGGCAAGCACCAGCCCCTTCAATTTGCCTTTCTTAAGATTAATTGCATTGAGGACCATAATGACAGTATAGGATTGTCTTTTTATGAACTCTTTGTTTCAATTGTTATTTCCACAAAACAAATGGTTCCTGGCTAAACACGCTGATTGTTGGTATCTGAGACACGTAAGGGAGAGGAGATTTCCTCGCTGTTTCCCAGCTCTGCTCATTTGTACCGTTTCAAAAGCTGTGCCACAGTGACAACCTGTTAACAGTGCTGTTTCCTGAGCATCTTTCCAGAGTTTTGGGGAGAAAACTCATTACTCATAATTAGGGAGAGCATGATGACCACACTGGAAAAGTTAAATAAGTAACCGATAATCTAAGCAGTGCAATGAAAAATGCTCCTCTGCGAGCAGTAGTTTGTTCAGAGATGATAACACCACCTTCTTTTGTTTTCAGGTGTGGCTTGATCTTTTGAAGCCTGTTATGAAACAGATTAGAAGTAAGTACTTCCTTGTCATTTGTTTTGTCAGTCTGAGAGTACTTGAATAAATCAGGACTCTGTCAGTTGGGATCTTATCTTCTCAGCTTTCTTCACTGAATTTTGTTTGGATTACTTTTTATTTCTCATCTGTCATTAAAAGGCATGATGTGAAATTGTCACATGAACGTATGAAGGGGCTGACCCAGTAAGAGGCTGAGATTTAGTCAGTCACTAGAAGAGGCAGTGGTGGCAATGGAGGGAAGAATTTTATAGAGAAAAAACAGTGCGGTAAAGGAAGGATTAAAGGAAGCCTACATTGCTGAAAGGTAGCAGTAGTCAGGATAAAAGAAAAAGAACAGGAGGATGTTATTACTGGGAAGGAGCTAGCAAATATATTACAACTGTGTGGGACATTGCTGCAGGCCTTGGAACTGTCTGAGACCAAGAGGAGAAAACGGTTGTGATAGGGCTGTCTGGGAAAGTTGTGGTGGGAAAGGACAGGAAATTGTAAATAGCTGTCAGCTCTAGGAAGAGTAGAAGTGAACAGGTAAGGTTTGGGTGATTTTGTTTCTTTGTCAAACATCAGCAAAGTTTGTCGTTTATTGAGCTTTGCCATTGAGATTAAGTTTTCCTTGGTGCCACTCTGGTCATATTAGCCTGAGTGTATGCTCTGGCACCTCTCTCCCTCACAAGAGATGCATCAGTCCTATTGTCACTGGTCGTAGTTGTAAGAGTCAGAAAAAATGTGCTGCTGTTAGAATAGAAATAGTAATTTGGTAGTGGACTTGAAAAATAGAGTATATTTTATCTCCCTCCTGTTCTGAAGAAAGAGAGAGAGATACGCATAATCCATTTTATTGGGTCAACTGATGTAATTACTGAAAACAGACTCAGTTTTGGCAGGGTATCCCTTGACCAATTTATGCTCTTTTATTGTGCGTCAGTTTTATTGTGCGTCAATTTTATTGTGCATGACCTGAAAACTAACCAAGGACAGGAGGGTAGCATGTATGTACGTATGTATGCACTGCAAGGTTCCATGAATCATCCTTTGTACATCATTCTGCGTAATAAAATTTGGCCAGCATGTTACTGATGTTCACTAACTTCCTTTGACTTTTCCCCTAGGACCAAAGCACATTGTTGTAAAATTCGTCGTAAAATTCTTCCCACCTGACCACGCTCAGCTGCAGGAGGAATTGACAAGGTTAGTAGCTGCATTACATTCTTTTTTTTGTTTGTTTTAATTCGGTCTCTGGTGAACAGAGGGAAGAACATGGAATTTGAGATGATTGGATGAGGATCAGTGGCTGCCTCTTAGTATTAGCTTGATGTTATTTGCCCCAACCTTGAATGCACCTGAAAAATAGGCCCTAAGATTCAGTTACAGACTGTGCTGAGAGGTTCTGCAAAGTGCAGGAGTCCTTTGCCTGCTTGGATTTGGGGCCCTGAGAGAGCCTTGCTCACCCCAAGAGAAGGCAGTTCGGCAACAGTGTTCTCCAAGAGCATTTGGCAGTGGTGTTGGAGGTGACCTGACTAAGGCGTATGTTGGTGCCGTGGGGGAGAGAGTTGTTTTGCGTGAATTGCCAAGTTGCAGCAGCTGGGGGACCCTATTCGTATAGCCAATGCAAAGGACAAAGGTTTGCACAGGTGGAAGTGTGACTTCAGAGATGGAGAAATGAAAAAGAGAGGAATTAAAATGAAAAGTAAAAGGAAGGTAGAGAAAGATACACAGATATGGAGAAAGAGTACCTTAAAGGTGTGTTTCTTCTTAGTGCATTTCGAAAACTTATTTTAAGTCTGAATTTCACACTACATTGGCATAAGGAGTCATATTTCTCTGTGATTAAATATGTATATGAGGGACCATTAAGGTTCTACCTCATTAACTGGTCCTTTCTTTATGGTCATAAACATTGTTTTGTTGCGTTATTTCTTCACTGCAACTTTTCAACTCTTTCTGATCTACAATGCTACTATTTTTAAATTACATTTTTCCATTCTGGTTCAGTATTTTCACTATTAGTTTTTATTTTCAATCTTCCCACAAGATTAAGCCCTGTTTTACAAAGAGCTCTTGTGTCCTTATGACTTGCTTTATAAAGAACAAGTCCACCTTTGTGATGCTCTGTGTTCACCTCTGTCTTGTTTTATTTTGGTAATAGAGCAATGGAATCGAAAAAAAAGAAATTATTGATATCTCTTGCTAGTCTGGACAGAGAAAAGTAGAAAAGTGGGGTAGGAAGAACGAATATTAAATTGAAAGACTTAATAAAAACAATAAAGGGATAAATGAAAACTCACAACATGATGTTACTAATGAAACATTTCTGTTTCCGCATAGATATTCTGCATATCAGTTGCTTAGTATGTGAACTGTAAATTGATTTTTGGTGATCTCTTTCTGCATCTGGAGACATGTCTCTGAATCCCAATGACTCTTTTAGTTAGATTTTAAATGTGTATGCTAGGGAACTTGAATATATGTACACGGCAGTGTGTAGGGTGTGAAAGCATATCCACAAGGAACAGCTTCATCACTTGAAGAAGCGAGGAATGCAACAGTTTTGCGCTGTATTCTTCTGCTAGGGTTTATTTTGTATGGGTAAGCAGATGCCTGCAGGTTTCAAAAGGACATTATTTAGATCAATGTATTATTTCATGTGCTGTGTATGTTTCCATACTCCTCAAATCAGCTTGCCTTTTTCATTTAATTTACCTACATCTCTTCATTCAGAAACTCACTGTTCAATTGAGAGTTTTTCACTGAACCTATTAAAATCTAGTCTTATTAAAAACTATTGAGATCCTAGAATTGAGATCCTAGTATAAGTTCTCCAGAGGACCTGCAGGTTTTTATTTTGAAGGCTTGTTAAGGTGTCTAACCAGTTCAGGTTTCATACAATTGTAGCAGAAATGCCCACTGCTACCTGATTTTTTTCCAGGGAAGAATGTGATGCTGAGTGGAACTAAGCAATTTCAATTCCCATTGAAGCTAGAAGAAATTTAAATGTTGAAATAATGTCATGGACCTATGTTGTTTCTGCACTTAAACTGTTGATGTAGAATTACCCTATGTGGCTGAGATGGTTTGGAGGTGATGTCAAAAATGGCTGGTGCACGGGCGGTGCGAGTAATGGGGCCATGAAAGTGTCAGAACTAGCTAGAGTTGTGCGATTGAGATCTTACTCCTCGTTTGCACGAGTGCTAAGGAGGAAGTTTAGCGTTCTCCTTGTGTTCTACAAGAACTGATAACTCTAAATCACTGGTTTATCTGCATTTCTTCGTAGTTACAAGCAGCTCCATTATCTAGTGCTGCTTGCTGTGTGGTTGCTGAGCACTTAATAGCTGTCACATTTGCTTCCACTGTTGTATCGCTTCCAGATCTCATTGCTCTGGTTCAAGGAGAGGAAGGGGGAGAGAAAAAGAGAGATATCTCACTTCTGCAAAGCAGCGACCATGTAGGACTCTAGTGACCATAATACAGTATCTGTTATGTTTTATTTAGCCTCTAAACTTAGGAAATTCAGATCACTTCTGTAGATTCCAAAAAAGTGAAAGGAGCATGCAGCCAAAAGCGGAGTTGGTGTTGAAATACTTTCCCCTCTTTCCCTCATGTTTTGTGTAACTCTTTGTTTGCTTTTGTTTTGCAGGTACCTATTTGCATTGCAAGTGAAGCAGGACCTGGCACAGGGAAGGCTAACCTGTAATGATACCAGCACTGCCCTCTTAATCTCACACATAGTACAGTGTAAGTTCCCTTTTTAATTCTTTCCAGGAGGATAAACAGGATGATTGGTCGGACATGCTTTGCTAGGTTACCTGTTAATAGCTGCCGTAGGGAGAGGTTTAAGCCATATGAACAATTTATTGTATTTCTGTATAATGGCATTCAAATATAGATAATTTACTCTTTCTAATAAAGAAGAGCTGCTGGACACTGGATTTGCAGTTTTAAAGCATTGCATTTGATGGTCTGCCTAAGATCATTTAAAAAGCAAACTTTGCAGGCGGTGGCAAACAGGTTGAATTTTTCTCCTGAATTCCTGTTTCATTATACATTTTATCATCCCTGGAGGTGTTCAAGGCCAGGTTGGATGAGACTTTGAGCAACCTGGTCTGGTGGAAGATGTCCCTGCCCATGGCAGGGGCGTTGGAACTAGGTGATCTTTGAGGTCCCTTCCAACCCTAACCATTCTATGATTCTATGTCAGCCGAGCATTCGAATTCCTGGAGGTCTGTGTGCTGTCTAGAGAATGTAGTAAATAAACATGCTTAGAATGCTATACTGAGTCACAGTCCTAAGAGGAAACTGATAGGGAAGAAAAAATCAGCAACAGATTTTAAGCTTTTTTTTTTAATTGCAAAATATGCACCATAAGACTGTTCAGTAAAATCATACATTAACTTTGTTCATCACATCAAAGCTTCTTTTAGCTTCCAGATCACCTGAAAGGCAGTGTATGTTTTCCATTTCAAGACTTTATGAATACTTGTCTTGAGATTAACATTCGGAAAAAACACTTAGTAGCATGTATAATGGTCATGATAGACCATTGTTTTGAATGGTCATTGTACAATTCAGCTTTGTGTATTTCCACTGAAATGCAGTTGTATGGAAACTGCAGTCAACAAAGAGGTTCAAAGCTCTTTAGTGATGAACAGATAAATCTCATGATCCTTCATCAAAGTCTTTTTGAGTGTTAGGGCAGTTTCTCATCAGTTGCTGTTGGAAAGGCAGATATTGCATGGCCTTGTATTTGCTATGGTTATCATTGCCCAGTGTTGACTGAGGAGCAGTGAGAAGCTGTAGAGGAGCCTCTGTGAAATTCTGTATTCCTCATGTCATTTTAAAACTGAGTATTTTTGCAGCAGAGACCTGAAAAAAATAAATCCTTGGGGAGCAAGCTTTTTGTCTCTTTTAGTTTCTCCTGTTATGCCGTCCAGCACACCAACTGTAGCTCTTTGGTCAGTTAAGCTGGTTCTAACTTCCTTTCATCTCAGGAAAAAAAAATCCTTGATCGTCTGGGGGAAGTTGAGTATTGTTTGTTACACTGCATTCTGGGAGGATGAGTTGTCCTACTAAATGTCTGTGCACCAAAGAAAGATTTTAGGGAGAGGACAGTCTAATGCGTGTGTGTCTCTTCATTTGAGGTATTGCTTCATGGTCATCCTCTCCTGAGCTCTTATACTTTATACGAATTATTTCCCTTATGATTTCTACTTAGATCCTGTTTCGTGTCTTACTCATCTCCTATTGATAACTCAATTAAGTTCTTCACTGAACCATCTACAGCTCTGGTGTCTGAACTGCTCACAGTGCAACTGCTAGCTTGTTTTCCTAAAGCAACAGCATAAGAGGGTAAAACACAGGATGTCCTTTCATCTTTACAAGCTGTCCTTTTCCCTTCTCCCCACAGTAAAACTCAACTGAGTTACTCAATTCAGTATTTTTTCAGAATTCCTCCTTTATACACCTGGCTCTTCCCCCGACACACCGAGGAAGGCCGGCAAGAAGCATTCATATCAAAGTGTACAAAAATGGCAAATCCTCACTGTTGCTTTTACGCTGCTGAGATGTGTTATACAATTGGATTAAATAATTTTCCTCAGTTGCTGGAAATGCTCATGATGCATTTGAAATCTTTCTTTGTCCCCTTCACTTGTGAGCTAACAATGCAGAGTGATTATGAACTGGGATTTTTGGAATCAAGTAGTAATCTCCTTATGGGAGAGTAAGGTAAGATACTTCTGTACTGAAAATCGAGTTTTTCTGTCGTGTCAGAAGGAGAGAGGTGAGAGATTCATCATGCAGAAGTGAGACAGTATTTACAGAATCTGAACTGCCATTTTGGATGGAGGGATGTTGTGCCTCGTGAACATTTTTCTGTGAAAATCTTATCTGATTTATAGCTGCATCTTACTCACATGACTGTCTTTTGTATTTATTTTCTCTCTGGCTTACTATGCAGTAGCTAAAATATATTGCATATTTTTCTGCAACAAAAATAAAACTAGACAGCTGATAAGAGTAATGATATGAAAGTGGAAAGATAGAGAATGCAAGAGGTTAGGTATTGTATGTCTTATCAATGCGGTGCCTACGAGCAGTTTCCATGGGGGATATCTGATTCCAGGAGACTCTTATATATACAAGCTTATGTCAGTGTTATAGACTGTTTATATTAAATAATAATGACAGAAAATAGGTTTCTGTTAAATTAGCATGTATATTACAGAAAGAAATTCATATTTGAAACATTCTGTTTAAAAAATACCTGAAAAGCATTGTAGAAAGTGTTAGAAGTGAGAAGACACTTTGATACCACAAATGATGCAGTGAGTGTGTGAAGTAAGAAGATGGACTGATTAAAGGAAAAGAGCTGAAATACCAAGCATTAGACATATCAGAAGTGCTAATGCGGACAGAGTACAGCGTGGTGTAACGCACTTGCAAGATAAAAGAGAGCATCAGTGGAAATCAATCTGGCTAAAACACATGAGAAGATTTTGAAGAAGAGTTATACGCGAGGCTGACGATATTCAAAATATAACTCCCTCTCATTCTAGAGGGAGTGCTACTAGAAGGGCATTTAAGGTGGAAAAGGAGGGCTAAAGAGAGAAGGAAAAGCTGTTGAGTATGAAGTCAGAACAAATTCAGAAGTAACTTGAAAGCCAGGAGGACAATTTTGTTCATAGATTTGCCATTGACAAATGCAGAGAACATTATAGAAATCAAGTAGAAGTGAAATAAGAGTCTTCTGTGCTCTCGGCTCTGAAGAGAGACCTACAGAAGGTAGTTTAGGTCCATCCGTGTAAAAGGACGTACAGGAAATGAACTGCATTTTAAAGAATCCATGCCTGTGTTATTTGAGGCGTTGCAAACCTAGGTGGGCTTATGGCTTCACTGAAGAAGAGAAACTTGCCTGTCATTTGAGCAAGGGTTAAAAATGGACCTAAAGATTTGTGATGCTCTTTGAGGGATTGAGGGAGCTGTTTCTGAGATGGTGACAAAAGGGACATTTTACAAAGGAGAATTCTCAAAGATTCTGTAGTGTTTCTGCTGTCTCAAGGAATTATTCAGAGCAGATGGGATGAGGGAGGGCGTGGAAATCAGACAGTCTCAGTTATCAACTCTTTTCTACCTCTGACCTCCAAATTATAAAAAGTCAACGTGTGGCTGCAGGCAATTTGGTTTGAAAGCTTACTGCTCTGTCATTCGTAGGTGCTTTGGTCCTCATGTTCCTGCCTACAGTCCCCCTCCGCATTTGCAGGTACATCTGATCCCAGGCAAACCTTTTTCGGAAATCACCCGCGGTGTTTTAAACATCATCTGAAACCCTTCTTTATTCTAAACCAGCTTCTTTTGGACAGAACTGGATTAAGGGATCGTTTACCTGGGCAGAACTGAGATGAGGATGAGGCAAGGATCTGAGCTTGGGTTTGTGATGTCCGAGGTCAACTGTGCAGCAACATGTCTAAATGCCACCATTTTTTGGGGATTTAATTTGAGAGTGCTGCATCTTAATTTCACTGACATTATTAAGGTAGCAGCCTTTGTTGTAGTGTTATTGTTATTACTCCAGCAAATTTGCAGGCAGAGTTTGCTACGCTGTTCAGTGAAAATGCTAATAGCAAGATTTTCAGAGGCATTCCAAGAATAGCAGGCAACAAGATAGTAATCTGGCACCCACACATAGATTGCCTGCCCCTCCCCCCTCCCCCCCAAAAAAAAAAAAAAAAAAAAGGAAATCTCACTGAATGGGCTGCGAAGTGGAAGGTGGGTGTGACATACTGTTGCACACGTGGTATTGAATAACTGCAGCAGATGGGAGCAACTTTGAGGAGGAGGGAGACAGAATGTGTCTCAAACTGCTGCAAAATTAACAGGAAGACAAATGTTTCATAACCTCGTGAGGTGGAATACATGCCTGCATTGAAACAAGCAAACAAAACCATCTCTCTCCAGATTTTTCCTCCGAAGATTATGCTGTGAGGCATGGGCCGGGGGAGGAAGCTTGTACTTGGCTGCTCTGGGGAAAGACACCTGAGCACCACCATGCGTGTGAGGGAAACGGATGAGTTCTGCTGGGTTAGTGCTGTCCTCCCTGTCACATCCCACCCATTATCCCACACACAAGTCAAGGGAGCACTGTGATGACTTCATTTGTTCAGTTGACATCCAACAGCTACTTACTTGGTTGTGGTGGAGGGAGGAATCCTTGCACTTCTTCTCACATATCAGATACTAACACAGATGAAAAGGGAGGAGTGTGTGAAAGATAACGCAGTGGGAATCTGAATTGTAAAACTATGACACAGCTTGCGAGAAACTATGTTTGCTTCTCTACCCTCTTACCAGCTGTCTGCACCTTTCAGATTGCCCGAATAATTCAGATTTAATACAATGTTTTAATAGACTTTTCTTAAAATTCTCCATAGCTGAGATTGGGGATTTTGATGAAACCATAGATCGTGAACACTTAGCGAAGAACAAGTATATACCTCAGCAAGAAGCACTAGAAGACAAAATCATGGAATTTCACCGTAATCACATGTAAGACTTTTTTTATCCTTGTTATTGGCCTTTTTTTCCTTTGTTGTAGTTCTAACTGTAGATACATGCTAGATCATAAGTACAAGAGAGAAATGTACCTCTTGAGTTCCTCAAAGGTTACTTCTCAAAGAATGTTCAAGCCTATGAATGTCATGAAGGTTACTCCTGCCTTTCTCCTGTCATCATAACAAGATATTTAAAGAGCAATTGATTTTGATATTCATTCAAGCATGCCATTATTTTACAGTCTATTTCATACAAAATGCTTCAGTGCCGATTTTGTGCATGCAGGTATGATTGCAAATGATGACTGATCAGTCAGGCACTTCTGACAGCAGTTTTTTTGATTTCAAGGACATTGAATGTTGCTTTTTCACCTTTGCATGCTGTATTTAGAGATGGATGAAGAGGAGTTTAATGACAGTTTTAGGAAAAGCACTAGGGATTTGGGGGAATAGGAATCAAGATGATGATGCAAATTGGTATCTTAAGGCCTGAAGGAAAGACTAGTAGTAAGAAGATGGAATAACACCCTGGAGGGAAGAAGACACCAAAGACACCCTGTTAATATTCAAGGATCACCTCATCCAAGCTCAAGAGTGATTCATCCCAAAAAAGAGGAAGTCAGGCAAAAATGCCAGGAGGCCTGCATGGATGAACAAGGAGCTCCTGGACAAACTCAAACACAAAAGGGAAGCCTACAGAGGATGGAAGCAAGGACAGGTAGCCTGGGAGAAATACAGAGAAATTGTCCAAGCAACCAGAGATCAAGTTAGGAAATCTAAAGCCCTGATAGAGTTAAATCTGGCCAGGGACATCAAGGGAAACAAGAAAAACGACTATAGATAATGTTGGTGATAAAAGTAGGACTAAGGAAAATGTGGGCCCTCTCCAGAAGGAAACAGGAGACCTGACTGAGGTACTCAACGACTTTTCTTCCTCAGTCTTCACTGGCAAGTGTTCTAGCTGCACCACCCGAGTCACAGAAAGCAAAGGAAGGAACTGGGAGAATGAAGAACCGCCCACTGTAGGAGAAAATCAGATTCAAGACCATCTAAGGAACCTGAAGGTGGACAAGTCCATGGGACCTGATGAGATGCATCCATGGCTCTTAAGGGAACTGACAAATGAAGTTGCTAAACCATTATCCATCATATTTGAGAAATGGTGGCAGTCCAGTGAAGTTCCCACCATCTGGAAAAGGGGGAATATAGCCTCCATTTTTAAAAAGGGAAAAAAGGAAGACCTGGGGAACTACAAGCCAGTCAGTCTCACTTCTGTGTCCACCAAGATCATGGAGCAGATCCTCCTGGCAACTACGGTAAGGCACAAGGAAAATAAGGAGGTGATTGCTGACAGCCAGCATGGCTTCACTGAGGGCAAATAGTACCTGACAGATTTGGTGGCCTTCTATGATGAGGTTACAGTATTGGTAGATAAGAGAAGAGAAACTGATGTCATCTACCTGAACTTGTCCAAAGCATTTGACACTATCCCGTACAACATCCTTGTCTCTAAATTGGAGAGGCATGATTTTGACGGATGGACCACTCAGTGGATAAGGAATTGGATGGACGATCACAGTCAAAAGAGTTGCGGTAAACAGCTTGATGTCCAAATGGAGACCAGTGATAAGTGACATTCCTTAGAGTTTAGTACTCGGGCCGGTGCTGTTTAACATCTTTGTCGGTGACATGGACAGTGGGATCGAGTGCACCCTCAGCAAGTTTGCCGACGACACCAAGCTGTGTGGTGTTGTGGACACGCTGGAGGGAAAGGACGCCATCCAGAGGGACCTTGGCAGGCTTGAGAAGTGGGCCTATGAGAACCTCATGAAGTTCAACAAGGCCAACTGAAAGATCCTGCACATTGGTCCAAGCAATCCCACACACAAGTACAGGCTGGGTGGAAAATGGATTAAGAGTAGCCTGGAGGAGAAGGACTTGGGGGTGCTGGTCGATGAGAAGCTCAACACGAGCCAGCAATGTGTGCTTGCAGCCCAGAAAGCCAACTGTATCCTGGGCTGTATCCAAAGAAGTGTGGCCAGCAGGTCGAACGAGGTGATTCTGCCCCTCTACTCTGCTGTCGTGAGACCCCCCCCGGAATACTGTGTTCAGCTCTGGAGCCCGCAGCACAAGAAGGACATAGAGCTGTTGGAGTGAGTCCAGAGGAGGGCCACGAAGGTGATCCGAAAGCTGGAGCACCTCTGCTATGAAGACAGGCTGAGACAGTTGAGGTTGTTCAGCCTGCAGAAGAGAAGGCTCCAGGGTGATCTTATAGCAGCCTTCCAGTACTTAAAGGGGGCTTACAGGAAAGCTGGAGAGGGACTTTTTACAAGAGTATGGGGTGATAGGACAATGGGCAATGGATTTAAACTGAAAGAGGGCAGATTTGCATTAGCTATAAGGAAGAAATTCTTCCTTCAGGGTGGTGAGGCACTGGAACAGGTTGCGCAGAGAAGTTGTGGATGCCCCATCCCTGGAAGTGTTCAAGGCCAGGTTGGATGAAGCTTTGGGCAACCTGGTGTAGTGGAGGGTGTCCCTGCCCATGGCAGGGGGGTTGGAACTAGATGATCTTTGAGATCCCTTCCAACCCTAACCGTTCTGTGATTCTATGAAAAGAGTTACAAATAAGGCACAGAAAGATATTTTTTTGCTGATAACACTTCAAGACTTGAACAGTTTCTTTTTGAGCTACATGGAATTAGATATGAGTGATAGGAAGTTCTACAGCAGTAATAATAAAAACTTTTGCATAGTTTATTCATGATTAATTTAGTGCTTGCTTGTGGGCTCACAACATTTATGTTAAGGATTTCATGTCTTCTGTTTTGCTTCGTTTTGGTATTGCATTCACTTTTTCAACGGAACAACATCCTTATACACTCCTATTTATGATTTTTAGGTGTATAGTATGTTTTTCTAATGGAAAATACAAAGCAAGGCAGTGAATTCTGTTAAAATTAATTGTTCAAAGTCTAGCTATTTCTGGTGCCTTAGAAATTTCAGTCTCTCCAATCGTAATAGACAGTAAAATCCGTGCATTCTTTGGTATTGGTTTAATATAAATATAATATGTAATATAATATAAAGTTATCGTTCTAGCTGATACAAGCCCGGAGATGTAGATAAACCTTATGGATATTATACCTCTGTCAGGATTCAGTCTCTGATCAAATGTCTCTTTGTTCCCTGAAGGACCTGTTGATCTCTATTAAAAGTTGTGAATAATTTTTGTGTCTTCTCTGTTTTCTGTCTCAAGGGGACAGACACCAGCAGAGTCTGACTTCCAGCTTTTGGAGATTGCCCGTCGGCTGGAGATGTATGGAATACGCTTGCATCCAGCCAAGGACAGGGAAGGGACAAAAATCAACCTGGCTGTTGCCAACACAGGCATTCTGGTGTTTCAGGTTAGAGCTGCTCAGCACATGACTTTGTACTTTGTAAAGCAGAGAGATTTCTTACAGCGATAAGAATTTAGGACCTCAGCCATGTCTAAAAGAATTTGGTTGGGAAAATTCAGGAACTTACAAATTTTTTCTACCAATGACCTTAAACCTTTTATAGCTGTATTAGGTCCTTCACTTCCAGGTACTCTTACCTTATTTGCATGCACAAGGTAGAACTCCATCTGCAGCCACAATGTGCTGTTCAAGATGCAAACTGATCCACAGCTCACAATTTGCAAGTTGGTCATGCTGAAAGCTCCTTACATATAGGAGCAGGTAGGTTTTGCAGGCATGGTGCATACTAAATAGGTGTGAAGCAGGGACGAATAAAACAACAGGCAACTGCAGTACATGGAGAAAGACGCAGGCAGTGAATGTAAGCTCTCCGTAGTGTTAGTCAGAGTTCTTACAATTTTCTTGACCAGCATTGGCCATTCTACCTTTGCTGAATCCATCAGTCTTACTTCTTTCAAAGTATTTTCCTTAGATTTTTTTAACTCTGCTCTCCTACTTCAGTCAGCCTGGTAAATGTTCATGAAGCATCATTAGTAAATTAATCAAATTCTTCTTCTGCAGTTCCCCTTAGGTAAATAACAAATCAGGCTTTTACAGTTGTGAAGGTATAGGCAGTCAGCTGGTGTAAACTACTTTCGCTTCAGATTAACTTATGTCTACAGGCATCCAAAATGCTACTTACCTCACTTTGTGTTAAAAACAGTAAGTAAACTGTTCTTCAAAATGTCTATTTTTACAGTTGTCAAAAAAAAAAACAATTTAACTGTTTGACCATAGCTAAAATACTAGCGTTTCCAACCTTATAAAGTACTTTGAGTCCTTTTATAAAGAAAACCAGCAACAAACCAACCCAGAAATATGTCTGACCCAAATGCTCTGACATCTCAATTTAAAAAAATTTAAAAATCCTGATCAGCTAAACGAATTGCTAGTAAACCCCCAAAACTGAAGCATAGGTTGAAGTGTGAGAACAGGTTGTTGTTAGAAATGCATATAAGTCAAAGAATTATATGTTCAGGCCCTTCCCCTGCTCCCCCACAATATTTTCATCAACTGAATTAATGGATTGCAAAGCCTTATAAATTAAGACTGTCTTACAGCTGAAAGTACGTGTCCACACAAAACAGTATGGACCTCACCAAGTCCCGGCAGACAGCTGAGATCCTTCCGTGAAGATGTAGCTGCTGGTTGAAGGCCCAAGGCCTGATTTGTAAAGCTCAAACTCGGTCATCTCTTCCTGTCCTAATGTGTCTGGGACTTTCAAAACAGGATTTTTTTGAACTTTCAGAAAAGCTTGGAAATTTTGCTGGATTAAGCTCTGAGACTGGATGCTGAAAAGGAAGTCAGGCTCTGAGCTGTTGGAGTCTGCCCAGCAATTGACATCTGGCATTAGACTTGGGGCTTCCTTCACGCACTTCATAGAGCAAGAGCCTTCAGTTCATCTTTTGATTTTGGATATAACTGAGAGCAATTGAAATACGAAGACCTCATTAGAATGACCTCAAGGAAAAGAAAGGTTCACTCACAATGGCATAAGCAATACTCAGACTTATTTTAAAGCCTGCCATTTATTTAGAAATGAGTGTCAGTGCTGCTGAGTGTACTAAGGGACATGAATTATGTGATTCGCAGACAGCAGGTTGACTTAGCAGAGATCATCACACTGTCATTACTCCTACATCTGTCTGGTGATGACGCCCAAGTCAACGTGGGTTTCTGCATTTAGCAGTCCTGTAGTAGCTCTCTGAAACTTCTTTACTGTGCTGTAGGCACAGGTTTGTATTGAAATCTTTAATGAACAAACTGCTGTAACGAATATTTTAAAGTAATACCTCTGATACATTCTAACAGATTAAGAACAAGACTTCTGGGGAGTAGGGGCTAATGATGCAGTGGCTGGGAACTGTAGTATTTTGAAGATAATTTCTCTCAGGCTTCCTGTTTGCTTCTGGTTTTTAGTTGCTTTTTTGGGGGAAAAGCATTTTGTCTCTTCAGAGACGTGATTTATTCAAGGTTCCTTTTACTTCTGTTACTTTCCATGAAAGGTCAAAATACTCCCAGTATTTTGCACTTCCCATACAAAACTTTCAGTCACTGTTTTTTTCCCCCCCAGTTAAGTGATATTTAAAGGGATGTTTATTTTGCCCTGTAGACAGACGAAGAGGAAAGAAATCTACCCCACCTAAGTGAGGTGACTGTGTTAGGTGTCTGGATTCCTTGCGTTCTCTGTAGCTAGTAGAAAGAGAAGGAGGCAGAGGCACCTCTGGGAGGTGACTTAATCCACTGAAAATCAGAGTCTGCGTAGTGGAACAAGGTAACATCATCTGGGCAAAAGCTGTTTTGGCCACCCTGTTTTCTGCAGTGATACTAGCTTGGGTACTTTCGCATCAGCTCGGTATACCCAGTCCTATAAATATGCAAGAGTTTAACCATAAGTACCTGCCTTCAATCACAGCACCAGGTGCTTATTATGGTTCGCATTATCAGAGGATGAATGATAAGAAATATCATAATTTCAGGTGTAGTGAATAGATGGTTTAGTTTATGACAAGCTTTCTGTAGTGGTTTAGATTTCTCCATTTAGATCTGGAATGCGTAAACTCTGCTGGCTTTGTTCTCTGTAGGGTCACACCAAGATCAATGCCTTCAACTGGGCTAAGGTTCGAAAGCTGAGCTTCAAGAGGAAACGATTTCTTATCAAACTACGGCCTGATGTGAATGTAAGTCCTTTGCAGGAATTCATGAAGTCAACAGAAGGTTATTTAGTGAATTTCTAATCACAGATCAAACGTCTGTTTTTTTATCACCTCAAGAAGACTGTTTTTTGATTAATTGCATATATTCACACTTGGTGTGTTACTGCATTCATCAACCTGGACATGTAAACTGAACGTCACAGAGTCTTCTGGCTGTGACTCTGGTAGTATATCAATGGTTCTCAACTCAACAAGTTAGAGTATGTAAGCCACCTCTTCATGTGTTAATGTTAAGACCACTGCTTTGTCTCTTGTCATATTTGTCAATGAAAGGAAGTTTGAGTAATAGCTCTGATATTGCCAGGCAGATCAGTGATGTCTCAAAGTGGAACCTGTTAAACCTGAAAGCTGATGAGTGGGGAAAGCACTTTTTTTTGTAGCATAATGCCTGCTTTGCCAGTGCATCTCTGTGGTGTGTATTGCTTGCTTGCTTGCTTACATTGCAAATGCCATCTCAATTTTCAGAGTTCGTTCCAGGACACCTTGGAATTCCTTATGGCCAGTCGAGATTTTTGCAAGTCTTTCTGGAAGATCTGTGTGGAACATCATGCCTTTTTCAGGCTTTTTGAGGAACCTAAACCAAAGCCTAAACCTGTTCTTTTTTCTAGAGGTTCATCATTTAGGTTCAGGTAATGTCTGCATTCTTCTTTCTACCTTTGTTGCCTCTCCATTTCAAAATCACATTCATTATGATCTAGGATTAAACCTGTTGTTTTCAGCTCCCCTTTTTTACCTTGTAGTTTACTCCTTTATATTTTTCATTGCATCTTCTCAGCCAGAACAGTGCAAAGAACACTGAAAAAGCCTGCATTCATTTTGTAGAAGCTGTTGCAAAGTAGCTTTCAGGAGGTAAGATATAAAGGACCTAGGTTCCACCAGGTTTCACATAAGAAAATTCAGCTGTGATCTAAGCAACACTAGCTAGCAATTTTTTTTTGCACTCTCTGTATCCTGTGCTTCTAGGATGAGATCTTTCCTATGTATCAGAATGGACATTTATATTTTCATTGCATGTCCCTGTGGTAAGCCCATCTCTAAGCAGCTAAAACCAATGGCTTGTCTTCATGCTGAGACCTTTATGCTTGCAAAGAGTTTGTGAGATGACCACCTATGACCTAAGACCAAGTCTACCTGTAATATTTATAGAGCTGTAAAAAGGTTTTTAATAGTTGGGTTATTTTTTTTTGTTTTCTTTCACTGGCAGAAGCCTTGTTGTAGATGTCACACTGTGTATGCCAGGAGGGAAATCCTTTTATTCATACAGTTTATTTTGTTTGCGAAGCTGATATAAGCTGAACAGCCAAAAACCCTCTGCTGAAATAAACCATACACTCTAGTTTCCTTGCACAAGAGCATAGTAGATATGGCCATTCTCTCTTCCCACTTTGTCTCCTATCTGCAAAGTAAGTTAATTAAGATGGAAGGACCTATGTTAGGGTAAACAAGCTATAATTGTTAAGTTTCTGCGTGAGTAAATAGAAGACTGTAGGTGCATTTAACTTACCTCCTGGTTTGGAGAGCAGGTTTTAGCTACATCCTCCACTCTCTGTGATCTGTGCTATGTCCATTCAGTAACTTTTTCCACGCCTTGTGGTAATTCAGTTAGTTTAAAGCCTGTAATAAACGGGAAGAATTTGGATCTGTATTGAACATTCTTGAGGTGTGGATTTCCTTTACTGCTCTTGGTTTCCTTTGGAGTTTATATCTTTGCACACTGGGAAGTGCTGGGCCTTCTCACTACTTTTTCATGGGCTATAGCAAAATGAAGGTTTCCAGCCTAAATCTCTGCAGAAAATGTGTGTATGTTTAGTTGATGTGTATCATATTGGCAACTGAGTCAAGGAATAATTTCAGTGGTTTTCATCGTGGCTCTAGGGTTTACTGATACCAGGTAAGGCTGGTATTTGACTCTCAAAAGGGTTCAGGAATGTTCTTTGCTCATGAGAGGAAAACTTAACCCTTGCTCAACTTTCTATGGTGATGACTTCTGGTAATGTAGTACCCTATAAAGGCCACACAACTGAATTTAAGCAGTTCCGAAAAGACATTAAAAAGTAGCTCCATAGCTAAGACATAAGTAACGGGCAAAATGATCAAAATCCGTGTGTACCTGACCAGGTCCACTTATGATCTTACGTGAGTTTTTACCAATGGTGACAAATACTTTTCTGGTTGCTGTGACTTCATATGCAGGCCACATACATGTTTATGATGACCAGGAGATACATTATATTAAATGTGGCAAATTCAGTATCTCAGATTAATATTTTAACTGTGGTTTTCTTCCAGCGGTCGGACTCAGAAGCAAGTTCTTGACTATGTGAAAGAAGGAGGGCACAAAAAAGTGCAATTTGAAAGGTGAGAGGAAACAAATTAACTATCCCAATACTTTTAAGCAAAGAAAATTCATGATTTCCAGTTAGTTATGTTCTAAAATCTTGGCATTAGTCCAAGTGAAAAATTCCTTCTTTGCTAGTTTGACAGTTTATCATTTGTATAATATCCTCTTAGTCCTGAATGTTTTGGCAGAAGTTGACATAACCTATAGTTTACTCAAAATCAATAGTCTTCAATCTTCTTTTCAGCAGTGTCTTACCATCACAGGTAACTTCCTCCCATATTGATTTGCACCCTTTTTGGTGGGATGTGGTTAATGTATGTGAACAGGCATATTCACCTCACAATAAAACTGAAAAGAACAGGAATAGGTATAGCCAACCTCAAGGGAGAGGTCGCCAGTGAAGGCTTCCAGCTTGCTAGAGCCAGTTCTGTCTGAACTCATCTTGCTTGTGGTGAACTGAAAGTGATGCCCAAAATGTCACAGAGCCCATGATAACAGTTTATTGCTTATGACTCATGTTCTGGTGATAGACCATTTTTGCTTCAGTGCCTCTCCCTTTTCTTACAATGGTGTGTTTGCAACACATAGCACATTTAAATTTTACAGGAAGAAGGAATGTTCATCTGTTTTGGGGCAAACTCATGAAAGCTGCTATTCAAAGGTTTTGTTTTAAAGGAGGCATGTCTCTTGATTCCTTTTAGTAGAAAAAGCTGAAACAGCTTCTTACTGTGATTTTCCTTTTATCTCCAGGAAACACAGCAAGATTCATTCCATCAGGAATCTGACCACACAGCCTTCAGAACAGCATACAGAGGTGCCAAAACAAGTCAGTGATGTTGATGAAACCCTGGATCATGCCTTTTGAACATTTCTCACTGATTGCTGTTTTGAAACTCTAGGATCATTGTTTTCTGCTCACTTTCCATTTAACTGGGAGCCCTGGGTGCCATAAGTTTTAGGTTCTGCAAGTGGAACAGCTTCATTTCCACTGCGGAACAGAGTTCCTTCCAGATATACCAGGCATTAAATAAATAGTGAGCTCGTCTGAGCTGTACTAATGACCATCTGAAAAACTACAATCCACAGTGTTACTGCTGGGGTCCTAGATTATAGCTGGTTATTGCATCTGGGAAAAGTTTAATTCTTTTTCTTCACTGGGGAGTCTTGGTTGCCCATGACAAGGCATTTGACTGTATTAACCAAGGAGGAGAAGAATTATTTCCTCAGAAAAATTACATCTCTGGACTTTTAAGCCATTATCTCTGGTAGATAGCTAATGTATTCATCTTCAGCTCCCCTGTTTGCAAATCCAATAGCCCAATAGTGGCAAGGTTGCAGCAGCTGCATGTTCCTAGGTCCAGCTAGTAAGGCTGAGCATGTGTTCACTATAGGCACCCACATAAATACACATATGCAATATATATACGTATATACACACAGCCAGCTACACAGGTAAACATAAACAGAAAAGAGCACTCCCACAAGCACGAACAGTGCCAGTGGCCTCTCGCTGTTCCACTCTTCGGCTGATCAGGATGAAAGTTCATTAGTGGAAAATATGTATACATATATACAATATGGATCCCTCCTGCAACTGGTCTTAGCCTATCCAGTAGTGGGCGTCTGAGTCCCCAGGTCTCCCAGTGGCTGGCATCTGGACATACAAGCCCCCAAGGCTCACAGCCCTACTCAGATTGCCAGTACTCAGATCTACACGCACACACTATGGACTCCTCCAGTAATTCATCTTAAACACCCAGTCTACCCAGTGACTGACAGCTGGATTCCTTGGTTCCTGGTTACCTCACGCACAGAGACATGCACATGCGAAGGTGTCTCTCCAAAAGCTGGTCCAGACTTACAACATTACCAGTAATTGACCCCCAGGCCTCATGGTCTTTCCAGTGTCTGGCCTGACTTGTGGCTGCTCCAGTACTAGGTTCCCAACTCTCTTACCCTACTTGACAACTAGTCCAGTTTAACGTTTGCTAGCAATTGCATTATTGACCTACCCACCCAACCAATATGCACGTGCCCTGGTCTCTCCAGTTGCTGGCATCCCTGACACACCCAGACCTTGGGCTGGTGGCTCTACTGGGACAGCCCTCAGGGGAGCCAGGTCAGAGAGCTTCATTTCCTTGACTAAGTTATTGGAGTTCCTCCACCTGCCAGTGTTTCTTTGTGCTCATCCGTGTTTGTGGAGGTAAACCTTTAATCACATAACCTTACATTAGGTAGAGCTTAAATGGCAGGAGCAAGCTTCTAGATTTATGTATTAAAGTACACTAGCCACATCTTCACCTTTCTTGCATTGCTTGCTTGTGATATTCACAGTCACTGTCATTCCTACAAGTCAAAGAACCTCAGAGAATTCTGCTACAAATGCAGCCCATTTCAAATATCTTTTAACATTTTAATATTGCTAAGACAAGCTCGGGTAGATAAAACATGACTACTGGGCAGATGTGACATATTTCTCTATGCAGAAAAGCCAGCCCAGGAATTAGTGGCAGGTATGCTCCAGGGATTTAATGTGTTCAAAAGCTCACACATGGCTTTTTTAGTGTATGTAAGTAGGCTGTGCAAAATTTATCTTAGGCATTTATCTTTTTCGTCCCTCCAGCTTCTCAGAGTAGTTCGAACAGGTTAACTTCTTAGTGTTGGTGGATGCCTCAGGGCATTGAAAAACCTCAAATACCCCTTTTTACATATCACCACATTCTGTCTGCCTTCTCTTTCCTTGCTTAGCTAATGTATTTTTCTGCTCTTAAGATCAGAGACCTCTTTTTCTTCTTCTAATTCATTCTGAAGCTTGGGTTGCCTCTTCTGCTTTCAACAGACTCCTGTGTTACTACAAGATGCAGTGCAAAATTCTGGTGCATAATTACACATAGCCTTTTCCCTCTGGCTCCCTTCCCTCCCAAACCTCTCTCCTCCCACCCCTCCCTCCCGCTTTGTCTCCCCCTTGCCTTCCCTCCTTTATCTTTCCAGAGCTCTAGCTTTGCCTATGGAGACGACAATGATGCTGCAGCAGTGCAGAGCTGCCGGCAAGAGAAGGAATTGAAGGCTTCAACAGAAGACACTGGACAGCACAAGAGTCCTTCTGTGAAGAAGAGCCCAAAGGAAGGCAGAAAGGTGGATGGAGCAGTGGTGTCAACAGTGGAGGAAGAAGAGGAGGCTGCTAAGGACAGGATGCAGCAGAACAGACCTCAGTCACAGCAACCAAGCACAGGTCCAGCTTCCAGGGCTGCTCATGGCAGCAGCACCTCCATTCCTTTCATTGACTGCAGTGATGTAGATAGCGAGTATGATCTCCTCAGAGGACAAATAACCCGGTCATATTCCCAAACAAATGACAATTATGAGGGTGATTTGACCAGTGGTGCCTATATTCACTATAGAGATGAAAATCGCAATAGAACTAGATACAGGGATTCCTCGGCCTCTATAAAGTCTTCCCAGTATCTCTCTGAAGAGTACCTTGATGATAACCCAGCTAATCTCTCCTTCTATACTGGGGGAAGCCCCAGGATGCCAAGGCACAGCTCACTGGTTGATGAAATGTTTAGAGGGTCAGGGAGTCGTAGTCCACTGGCCACTCCACTGCCTCCCAGTAGCAAAGGGTCAAGCCCTAACATGAGTCTGAGTAGAACTGGCTCTCAGGGTTATGTCTCAGAAAATGGGCATGACTGTAGAGTGAGGACTGGGGAGGAGGACAGCCATGCCAGTAGCTGCCATGGGTATGGCAGATATTCTCCAGGTTCTCAACGGCCTCATGCAGAGAAAATCCCAAATCTCTGCAATAAATCAGTTACAGATCCATTTATCCTGAGCCAGATATCCTCAACCCCTGGCCAGGAGTATAGGTCAGAGAGATACTGTAAAGGAGACAGCGTGGCTAAGATGTCTTCTCCAGAAGGCAAAATGATGGCCAATGGTATGCCAGCTGGGGCACAGTCAAAGCAGAGCCCTGTCATGCAGTCGCTGCATGCCAGTGGTGTGATGGATCACATGGCTGCAATCCAGATGATGGAGGGCTCCACCAGCAGTGGGACAGAATCTAGTGATTCCGACTCAGAAATCATTAACCCCTTCACTCACCCTCTGGTGTTTGGAAATCCCATTGTACTGAGTTCCTCTCCCATGCCTAGAAATAAGTACTCCTTTGGAAGCCTTCAGCTTGATGAGGAGGTAGAGGAGGATGTGTCTGTTGGCCTCAGTGATGAAGATGGTGTGCAGGTCTTCAGTTGCTAGGGACCAGGGCGTATGAGACCAGTGGATACTGTGATTGCTCATTAGAGTGATTGCATCTCCTGGGGCTTGTGAAGAGTGGCTGGTGATCATTTCAGTGCATGGACTATTTCAAATGTTGTCATTGGACTGACCAGCCAGAGGGAAGGGATGCTAGAAATACAATAATGAGGATAAGTCTCAGTGAAGCTTAACAGTAACACATCTCCTCTGAAAGGCAAGAGGAGAGGAAAATTATGACTGATTTAGGTACCTTTGTAAGACTTTATACGCTCACCTGTTCTTTGTATGAAGTCTATTTCAGGTGTATATTGTAGCTTCTTTGACACTTGACTAGTTATTTTGACAAAAACGAAAATGAAATTAAGTAGGTACTTTGTGCTCTTTTGTATGTCTATTACAATTATTTTTTTCTCTCCCATGTAAGGAGAGCAACTTAAGAGTGCCTCAACAGAGTTAGGGGAAAAAAAAAAAATTAAACTTACGGCCAAATGCAGGCAGCTTGATATTCAAGAGCAAGACTTGCTGAAATCTTGAAATATGCTGGAAAATCTTTTCATAGCAAGAATGTGTTTGGTCTACTCATCTTCATAACCCATTTTATAATCTTAACTGAGGATACAAATTAGGCATGTATACAGGAAAAGTGACAGTAGTGGCTTTTTCTTCAGTGGGTTCATCAGGCTGATTTGATGATGGAGGTTTTGAAACTCCAAACTTTTCCTTGGGCAAGAAAGAACAAGATGAAAGATACAATTTAAGTAAAAAAAAAACTTACATTGAAAGAGCTCTAATGAAGAGTGGTATGAGTATTACTTGCAAGGCAATCCTTTCTATCCTCTATCAGTGTGGTATAAAAATTAATTGCAAGAGATTTTTTTTTTCCTCTTATTCTTTCAGTGGAATTATTCATAGAGACATCAAAGTTCTGTTGTGGGTGATTTTTGGTGGGGGGCGGGTTGGAGATGGTGGCTGTTTGATTTTATTTTTGACTTTGATCATGAAAAGTCTTTATCTGTATCCAATTAGTCTGTTGCTGGCTATTGTTTTAATAGTGTCACCTCATGAATTTTTCATCCCTTGACACAGAGAATGATTGGGACTAGCTGTGGTCCAGGCTGATTGTCTTCTGCACTGTACATAGAGTAGCGAGATTTTGGCACGTGTGCAGAAGGACAGAGAGATTAATTCTTTGTAAACTTCCTTTCACAGGCTACAAGTATTGAGAATTAAGGCTGTGTACCGATCAAATCTGATTGTAGTTTCTCCAATTGAGAAAATCCAGATGAAAGGTCTCCTGTATGGAAAGCCTCCTGCAGTTAGAACTGGGAGACAAGATGTGCTCTTTAACACTGGCCTTAATTTTAACTTTTATATATTTTTCTTGTGGGGGAAGGGAACTAAATTTGAGACTTTTAAGTGATGAACTGCATTGTCTGAACCGGAGGTCACTTGCAGTGATCCGCATCATGCAGTACATGCATGCAGCAATGATGAATCCGCCCACATAAATACTGATGAACAGGTCACAGAACTTTGTAAATCTAGACAGTATAAAAATTTCAAGATTGTTTTTACAAAAATAATAAAGTAAGAAGTGTTTTTAAATTTTCTAATGCCTTGGTCTATGCACATTTTAACAAGAGTTTAATCTGTGTGAAGGATATTTAAAAAGATACATACAGTAGTTAGACATGTCTTGTTATATACTTTACTTTTTTGCAGTAAAATATATCTTCATGTAAACATAAGTTTTAACCTGCTCATGCTCTTTAGTGTGTTGGCTTTCTTAAAGATTAGATACCTTATTTTTGAACAGGAATGATTTAAATCATCTCTTTAGACAGTGATATTTTGGTGACAAGGAATGCTCTTGTTTGTTCCTGTAGTTGAAAGCATGAACCTAGAAACAGCAAGATTGATAATTAGGGAAAAGCTTGCTTGTATATTATTCTAAAAGGAGGTGGTTTGTGTTTTGGATTTAGAATAGCTGTAAAATAATTGCCTTGAACTTCTCAATATTTAAGATGAAATATAGCTAGTTGAAGCCTGCATTAGCAGATAGTGTGAGCATGGGGAGTGGGTGCATGAGTTTCATTTTGATTTTTTTGCTGCCTGTGCAGCAAAAATACCAGTAGTTATATTATACGGTAGAGTAACAGCAATCTGGACAAATGAATTAATTGCTTTGTTAGCCAGTAAAATTAGAGTTCAAGTGATGGATTTTCAACAAAAGGATTTGCAGTCGTTTCTGCTACTTAAGGGAATGGATTTCATATTGTTTGGATTTAAGTGAATATAGAGTTTTATAAGTGGTATGTACTATTTTGCATCCTCTCAAATACTGTTTTCAGGCCCGATTTCTTCTCTCATATGCCTACAAAGATAATGGATTTATGATTTTACAAGAACAGACCTGCTGGTAGCTGGAGTTAGCTTAGTTGCTAATAAAGTATCTCAACAGCTTTTTCTTTTCCCTTTTGAATATTATTCTCAGAAATGAAATATGAGGATTTCTCTTGGACTATTTTCTTTCATCTAGCATTTTTTCAATTTTAAATGTTTAAGTATTTGTTGTTGTAACACATGTAGAATTCTTCCAATTTGAAGAAATCAAGTTTTAAAATTACATAGGAAATAATTTCATTTAGGATGAATCATTTTTGCAGCATTCTTACGCCACTGAAGTTCAGTTTAATATCAGTAGACAAGCATTTAATTAAAAACAGTCTGTGGGCCAAATTCCTCCTCCAGAGATGTGGTTCATATCTGGGCACTTGCCAAGAATGGTAAGTGAGAGAGCAGTTTTGAATTGACATTTTCACATAGGATCAGGTCCCTCAGAATTCATCTGGGAGTTTGTTTCTGCAGGACAAATACAGAAAGACCTTGGAGGAAAGAACAGAAACCTTTGGTCAAGGCTGCGGATGGGATGAGATGAGATGAGATGAGATGGGGGAGTTCTTGTTGTTGTCGTTCACAAAGCACACAAGGGAAGAGACGTCTGTCAGCTCAAGTTAGTCGTTGCGAGCATTGATTAATCTGTGTACCCTGGTCAATGGCAGCAGTCTAAGAATACCCATGTCTCAAGTCTGACAGAGGTAGCTACAGACAAAGTAAAAGATTCATTCTCCCACCAATTCCAGTAGATTTCAGAGCGTGGCTGATGGTACTTTTGATTCACCGTTCTAAACTTTTTGTTCACAAGAATTAACTTTTAAATCCCATGAAGCGCCCAGATATCCTTAGAGAGTTGCTACAAATGATGGAGCTGAATCCCAGCAGGACCAAGCAGCTACGTCTACTCCAAATGAGTAGTCCTCAGCCACCTATCTCCTGTCCTTCCAGAGGATGTGAAGGAAGCCTCTTGTTGGGCTGTCCAGATGGCTTATCATTGTGCTGAACCAACTCTGTCCACGTAGTTGGATGACTGTGGAGACTAGTTGCAAAAGCAGTTTAGGGGTTTGTCCCAAAATAACGTGCAGATGTAGTTAGTCTATGGATAAAAGGCACCCTGATTCTTCCTTTACCATTCTAAGTACTTGACCACGTTCAGTCATCTGCTACAGTGAATGAGAATAGTCATATCAGACAATTTTAAGTTTTGTCCAGCTCAGCAGCAGCTCAAACTTACTGTGTCCTGTTGGAACCTTCTTCTGGAGGTTGGGTTTTTTTTTCGTATCAGCCTTTCCTAGAATCTAGTTTTCCTCAGTGACCAGGGATATAAAATTTGGGAATAAATTTAGCTAGATGAAGGAAAGTCGAATAGTGGCAAGTTGATGTAAGAGCCAGGACCTATGTAGGATATTGCAGGTATGGAGTTTTGAATAATTTGTATCTGAATGGCCTAGACTGCACTGTTTTCGGTTTAAGTCCATATCTCCTAGCAAACATACTCCTCATGAATGACAGAGGGGTGTTCTCAGAGGATGATTTGCACCTAGTGCTGCAGTTATCTTGAATCACCCATAGCTCACAGGC